TGTATGAATCCAATATATAAATTTAGGCACTGCCTAAAAAGCCAAGCTCTCAAGAGGTACAGGGAGCCCAATTTAGATAAAACTGAAATGTGAAAATATAATCGACGGAGAAAAAAATTCAATAATTTTTTTGTATTCGAAATGAAGATAATACTCCCATAACGAAAACCACGACGTTACAAAAGCAAATTGAAATGAATTTCATTGTTTGTTTGTTTGTTTGTTTTTTGCACGAGTCTTTTTTTTCGACCTTACTACTCTCCCACTCAGAGATTTTTGGTCACTTGTGGCTAGGTTTGTTTTTGAAAAATTCTTTGACAACGTTTTTTATGGCCGACTTTTTTACGCTTTGAAATATATCTCTGGTTAATGTTTCTTGAAAAATGAAAGATAACTACAGACTACAAAATATCACTTTAGTGAAATTTACCTTGGATGTCTTTCATATAAAATCCAAATGTTGGAGATTTCCGAACTTTTTAAATCAACACTATAAGACAGATTGGAAAACTGGTTTAAAAAAGTTCAGCAAAATATAAGATTACTTTTATTAAGACTTCTTTTATATACCGATTTGGGCTATCCGAATATGAAGAGCATTKTGTTTTTATATGAACCGTATTTTTACCTCCATGAAAATAAAAGATAATTGCTTTGGTAGCAACAGAGAGAGGAACGACAAAATCAAATGTGTAAGTTTAAAAAAAAAATAGTTTTCTTATCATAATTATTCATTAAAATGTATATATTTTTCCATATACGCCTTTAAGCGTTGTTCATACTAGAGTCACAAGCATCGTACTCGCAATCGTAGTCACAATCGTAATCTTAAGATCAGCTTACGATCTAGTRTAAGTGAATGCGACGCAAGCCGAATCGTAAGCATCGCTTCCTTGTTATTTTCCCTCCAGCTTCGAAATTTTCATTATGGCAACGAGCGTAGTGATTGGTCAATTCTTACGATTACGATTACGTTTTCTTGGTCCACACTCGATCGTAAGGTGAGCGTAATCGTAATCGTAGTCGTTAGGAAACAAAGTCTTCTGATCTTAGCTTACGATTTTTAATTCCCACTGGGTCTTAACGCTGCTTACGATTGCGGTTACGATTATGATTGCGATTACGACGGCTAGTGTGAACAACGCTTTACTCTATTATTTACAAGACTTTACTCTATTCTTCGCGAAGCTTAAAGACTAAGCTTACGAGTTTTTGAGATTCCATTTGATCAGTTTTCATCTGTTTTCATAAGTGAAAAATATGTGGAAAATATGTACGACAAACAAATTTTCTTAAGTCCTTCGAACGTTCAACGATTGACGCCTATTTTTTGTGGAAGCCCGCGATTTTTCGGTCAGCGTTTGCAAAATCTACCCGCTGCTCATCATCAATTTATAAAATAAACGTTATCTTAATATCATTAAGCCATGTCAAATAAGTTAATTTGGCCCGTTATTTATCTTTTTAAAAATTGTGTTTAACAGGTGGAATTATGTGGATTTCACAACCTTCGTATGAGACCTTTGGACATGTTGGTTCTACGGTTTACATCACGTGGAATTACAAATGTACCCAAGTCTTTCTTTATTCTGATATTCTTTACAACAACGCATGGATAGCCTATCGAGCTTCAAAACGACAAAACTATGCGTTAGTAAAAAGAAATGTTAGTCCGGATTCTAAGTTATATGTTATCGGTGGATCAAAAGTTACGATTGTCATCAGAAATATCAATAAAAACAATGGTGGAATATATTGTTGTGAGGTTATATGTCCTCCTCAAATAGAAATGCTATGCACAAACCTTGTCACATATGGTGAGTATATGAAAAGTGAGATTTAAAAAGAT